CCGGTCTAGCCGAAGCTTGGCTCTCCGACACTTAGTCTGTCAGTAAAGATGTCCAGTACTATTGTGCCTCTCCTAGGGAAGTGGGTGTGCTTATATCCCTCGCTTTGATGGTGACTCGGATATCCTAATTAGGTCAATAACATAAAAATAATTCATTTAGGGGATGTTGTTGCTGTGACGTTTTTCTTACCGCATTTTATCCACAAGCCAAGCTTTTCACATTCCTTTTGATTAGGCCTTGAAAATGAGTTTCACACAACTTATCAATCTCTCTTTATAAGCAAATGAACTACCACATAAATTAAATAAATAGTTGATATTCACCGTCCAGGTTGTTGGGACCCCGTGATGGAGTGGTGGGCGAACATCGTAGGTGTCGCCGCTACCTGGTTGCTGGCCGACACCGGCAAAGCCGTAGAGATCGGCGACCGTCTCAACATGCTGCCTGAACCACTCGCTAACTGTGAAGATCCTTTGCCAGGGTACGTATTCTTACCATAAAGACAATTTTCTTCATTATTATTATTTTAATTTTATGCTTAAGATTTTTTTAGTATGAAACTTTTTATTTGATATGGGGCGACATTCGTGTAGACAATTTACCTGATGGTAAGCAATCGGCGCTACCCATGGTTACCCGCAATAATAGAGGAGTTTCGAGTGCGCCGGCCTTTTGGGGCGAAACACAACGCTGTGGTTGTTTCACGTCGGGTGTTTGTAAGGCCGTGGTATCACTCCGGTTGAGCCGGCTTATTCGTGCCGGAGTACGGGTTTCCCATATTACTCGTAAATAAATATACACTTGTTTTAAACACCACTTCGATTGATGAATAACATGGTTAACTTAATGGTATACCTATGTGCAACTAACGTCCATGTATAAAATGCGGGTCAATAACACATTTATAAATTAAAATAAATTATTATTCAACAGCCGTCTAATTAACAATGAGAAGATTGTCGTACATGCGAAAACTTAGAAATTCTAGTCGCACTGGTGTTTATAAAACAAAAGTGTATAGTTTATAGTTGTTGTATTAATAACTATTGTCTTTCATAGCATAAACATGAGCTGATGAAAATATAGCTATTGTACTATTATTCGTAGGGCACTGCACATGGCGTACAAAAGCCGGCGCGGCCTGTTGAGCCTCGCTCAGTGTCGAGATGAACGCTCGTTCGAGAGGACCGCCGAGACCATACTTAAGGTGTGTGCATTTTTTACATTCAGTGTTTATTCTAAACTATTAGAAAATTTGTGAGTGAATTTTAATAGTTGGTGAAAATGTTTGGTGAGAAATTCTACTCTTTTTTATCTTTTGCTTTATCGAGGAATCACTTACCTCCTGTAGTCGTGACAGAATCCTATACTTTTGCAAAATAAGAGGTTGTAAGGTAATTCTTAGTCTTCCACCTTCTATCCGCGGACGTCTGTGAGCCAGGTACCAGCCGGGTTTGTAGGTTTATTTCGCAACTCAGCTCGCGACTTCGCCCTCTTGAAATATTGACTTTTGCAGATTTATGGTTTAAAAACTATCCTATGTCCTTTCTCGAGTTCCACACTATATCTGTATCAAATTTTGACAGAGTTACTTTCGCATTTATAATATCAGTTTGGATAAGGTACCGTATCCTCGGAACAGGAGAAGGGACGGGGGTGTTTTTAGTCAGTAAGAATCGGACACTCCCGCTCGCCATACATAACCTAGGCGAGAAAAGTAATTTGATGATCTTTCCTTCTGGAAGGTGTTTTTTAGATTAAAAAAATATTTTTTTCTAATAGGTAGATAGTATTGAACATTACAACATTTTCCGTCTAGTCAATGTATAATATAATAAACTAAATGTCTTTAATATCCATATTACAGGTTTGCGACATCGCCGGAACCAGACTAGCAGATTCCTTAGCATACTACTGCTGCCGGAAGCCCACGCAGCTTATGTTGGTAAGTTTTTATAAAAATTAAAAAAACCATCGACTTCAATCTCATAAGCCTAGTATTAATTATACCATTAATTTTATTTTTTTGCTTGTTATTTTTATCCTCATTTCAGTTTTTTTATTATTTGAATGATATTAGCAACTAGATGGAGCTTGAAGAAATAACTATTACGGGAGTGCATTGTAGTTGCATTGCACTGGTTTACATGAGTTGTGCAATATTACTACAAGGCAAATCTCGCATTAGTTGCATCCGCCGCATCGAAGATGTTCTTGCATGGTTTATTTTTTACCTTTATTGCTTTGTTTTAAGTAGATAGTACCTATATTCTTAGTGGGTTCATTTTAGTAGTTAGATCATTTGTTCGTAGATCGTATTATAAAAAGCATGTGTAGAAACCAATTCATAATATGTTGAATGATTAATCTCTAGCATCACTTTTACTTTCTATCTATATTTTGAGTAAAACGGTAGTCTTATGCTCTAGTACTTGGCTTTGGCTGTCTCGAGTCTGGCAGTGTTTATAACATGTTGTATTTCATTATCAAAATATTTAGAAGTAGCAGCATTATATATGGAATGTCTTTATGTTTAAATAACATCGTCCTTGCTGAGTCAGATAGTATAGTTGACACTGAGACCTATAACTTGTATTGGTATAGATATTTTAAATAAATTAGATGTTTTAGCTTTTAACATTGTTAGGTTTATTGATATTAATAATTATATGTTTATTTAAAAGGCACTTCAATGCTTAGTTTAGAAACAAACTCGAGTTTGAAGGAAATCTGTATTACCACCTTTCTTATTTTTTATTTGCGCCATTGAACTTAATATACAGGGTGATTAGAAATACCTGCTATACATTCAAGTAACAATTAGGGATTGTTATAAGTAAAAATTGTAATCGATAAATATTGTTTGCATTTATTCTAGAAATTAGGTATTAATAATATGTAATTCTATTATATTCAATACCTAGTTTCTGTTTATATTTAATAACTTACCAAGAAACTTTTGTTTTTCTAATAACCTCTTATAATATTATAGACAGGAGGCCGGACACCCGTCCATATTTATGTGCTAATATTTAATGACGAAGCAGTTATGTCCTACGGCTTACACATACATTTGACGACAAAATCAGACTATTTTCAAGCCACGCTGAGGGCCTATAGTCATAATCAACCAAAGACGCAATCATGATCGTATTCTACTGTGAAAGTCGTTAAACATAATTATAACAAATCTAATCTGTTCTAGGAGATTTAATATTTAAAAATTATGATATAAGTGACTAAGCATGGTTGTGTGGGCAGTTGATGCAGGTGTTATGCTGTGACTGGGTGCTGGAGGTCCGCGCCGGGGTCTGGGAGGCGGCCGCGGCCAGCCAGGCCGACGACTTCTGCGCACCCCACGCACAACTTCGCGCCTTCCAACGGGACTTGCACTCTTTGAGACGGATATCGCAGAATCTACCGGTGAGTATTTTTATTACAATTACTGCTTTATTATACAGTTTATTCAACTTTCAGTAAAAACAAATTACATGTAGAAAATGATTTTATTTATTTGTTTGAACATTTGTGTACAAGGTGGACTCAATGCCACAGGCATTCTCTGCCATTTGAACCTTTGGGTTGACATGTTCCCTAGGTACAACAAGATATATTAACTGTCCAGTTTCTAATGCTAAGATTTTATTTATGGACTGTTAAAGATAGTTTGATTATATATACGTCTTTTTGCTTAATAACGATTGTGGGTGAGACATACATCATTTATTGAAGATAACATTATTCACACGAAAAAAAAAACACTATTTACAATAAATTTACCTATTTTTATAAAAAAAATCGGCAGGTATAAACCTGCTTAAACTTATTAAATAATGACCTATTATATTCGCTCCACCAATGTTCTGTGTTAGTGTTTGCTTAACCAAATCTAAATTGTTTGATTGTAATGTTCCAGTGGGTGACATCACGAGTGTTCCTGCAATCTGCAGTGTGTCGCATGATGGCGGGCGCGGCTCCAAGGCGCACTCAACAACTGCTGGACGGCAGTCTCAGACCTAGACTTAACCGATCTTCTATTATTTGTGGAAAAGGTAACTAACAATATATTATTCTAGCGTCTCATAATCATGAATGAAATTCAAAATTCAATGTGTAAGCTCGTTAGTCATTGAAGATCTAAATGATTTTCTTCAAATAAATTTCGTCTCGGCGTTAAATTTAGATTCCTGTGAAACAGAAAATAATCGATATACATCACACATTATTAGGTTTAGGTGCTAAGAAGCAGGATAAATTAGAAAATGAATAAAGGTAACCCATAAAAACATTTGAGTAATGAATAAAATATCGTGTACTAGAGCGATCCTCGGAAGGCGGCGGCGGCGACGGCGAGCGCGCGGTGGCGCTGTACATGGCGTGCAAGCACCTGCCGGCGGCGGTGCTGGCCGCGCCGGGCGAGCGCGCCGGCATGCTGGCCCAGGCCGCAGCCACGCTGCAGAAAATAGGACACAGGAGCCGCCTACCCCACTGCTATCATCTCATGAAGTCCATAGGAACCATGCCCTCGGCACCCTAAAAGTGGTGTCCCGCCTAAACATCAAATATTAATTTATTATGTTATATGTTTCTATAAATTACTTACCCATTGTTATTTGAATAAAATTTATTCGACCCAAAAATTAAATGCAATACATGACGTTTTTTTTATAAAGTGTGCTTTCATTTTTATTTACCTAACAAGTAAGGGTATGCATTAATAATGTCTCTCCCTTCAGGGATTAATGTACTTCAATGTGCAATTACTTTCTTAACACTTCTTAAGTTAATGGTTACACTCGCACGGAACATTGCTACAAACTCATCTGGGATAAGATTCATCAACGATCCCTGTTTTCAATTTGTAACTGGTGAACCACCTCACAACCATCACAACAGCATATTATCTGTATAATCTATGGTGTTCATAGCAATTTGAACACCCATGAATTTGACAAGTACCATTGACAGATGACAAGAGAAATGTCAGTACATACATTGTCAAGACAACAGGTACAGACAGGTCATATCAATATTGGTATTTATTTCAAATTAAAAATAGCAGTTCGATCGATATCATTGGATATAATTTTGGCCCTTGTAAACTACAATAGTTATGATACGTCTCCTGTAGACGGTATAGTGAAACGCTTCTTGGAATATATCGTTTTATAAATTATAATTATGGTAAGTCAATGTTTGTACATATTGATTTATTATTGTCACACTGTTTGTGTCCCTAGACTTTATTTGTATATCATTAAGAATAATGAAAACCTTTTTTTTTTATAAATGAACCGTCTAGTATATCGTTATTAGATTTTTATGTTGGATACTTTTATAGGAGTTAATTTATGCATGAAAACTACCGACACGTATACTCTGCTTTTAAATTTCAGGCAAACGCAGTCGCTAATGTTCAGAAAAAGACAGTCGGCTCCAACAACACAGGAGGAGTCCGCAAGAAGTCAGGACCTAAGTTTGAATTATCAGATGAACAAAGAAAAGATATAAAGGAAGCATTTGATCTTTTTGACACAGAAAATACAGGGAAAATAGACACAAAAGAATTAAAAGTAGCTATACGAGCCCTAGGTTTCGAACCCAAGAAAGAAGAAATTAAAAAAATGATTGCAGAAATAGATAAAGGTGATGGGAAGGTATCATTTGAAGATTTTCAAGAGCTGATGACCGTCAAAATGGCAGAGAAGGATACTAAAGAGGAAATAATGAAAGCATTTAAACTGTTTGATGATGATGAGACAGGTTTGTATACTGTCTAACTTAGATTATTTTCTATACTTTGTGTTCAGTCACTCTATTCTATGCTAACTCGGAAAACTTTATAGAAATTTTATACAAATATTACATTGTAAACAAATACTTTGTATATGTAATTAAATAAATGTATGTATTTAGTACATTTTGCTGAAAAACCAAAATTTGAAAATTCTAAATACTTATTGGATTCCATGATTTGTTAAGTTATAGGTACTTGTTTAAATTTTTCTTGAATGACAGACATCTGTACAAGTTTGAACATGTTTGTAAAGGTCAAGTAAGTTTTTATCTTTCTGTTTTTTAGATGATGTGCAAGATATCTGATATCAATGTCAAAACATTAGTCATAACTAGTAAAATGATGACTTATCAGATTTTATTTGGATTTTGTGATATGTAGTATTGCTTCATTTCAATAGACAGTTCCACTATGGGATTGACCAGCAGGCATACTTTTTAAACAATTAATTTGCCTTGCTCTAATAGTAGTAAATAATTTGTTTTTGTTTTATATTATTTTCAGGGAAAATATCATTCAAGAATCTCAAGAGAGTGGCTAAGGAGCTCGGTGAAAACCTGACAGATGAAGAACTTCACGAAATGATAGATGAAGCAGATAGAGATGGTGACGGAGAGATAAATCAAGAGGAGTTTTTGCGCATAATGAAGAAAACAAGCCTCTATTAGAATTAACAGAAGTATATGCTGTGTGTGGTAGATGTTGTTCAAAATATGTTTGACTGCAACAAAAAACTAATGTCATTTACATAATGCAATTATTTCAAATTTACAAAAAAAACTTCTGTTTTTGGAAATGTCTCTTTATCAAATTTCCACAGGGTATCCAGTTTTTATTTAGTTCGATATTATAAATATTTTCATCTACTCTCTAACCCTGAATATCCGTTTGAATTGGAAACACAGTTGCCAATTGAATTAAAAAATATACAAGTTAATGTAGATAGGTATAAATATACTTTAAGTTCCTCTTATATCACCCCAATATATGTATTTTTTGGGAAACCAATAATTATATTTAAACATATTTTAAGAGTATAATCTCACTTTTTTCACACAGAATATTTTAAAATTTAAGGCATGATTTTAGAAGTGAATATAACTTTGTTTATTGTAACTTGCAGCTTATACGGGTTGAAAAAATCAAAACAATATTGGTAAGTGAATGATATCTAGTGCTGGACATCTGTAGTCTATTATCATGCCCCTGTTCCATTATGTCCTGTTAAGTTCCTATCAGCTCAACTGAGACAAGACATCATCTAATAATGTGTAACAGATCCTAATTATTTCTTGTATGTTTAGCTTTATCACTATATCGTGTCTTGTCATTGTATAAATTTACAGTGTGACCATTAATGCTTTGATTTGTTGAAGGTATTTAAGTGGGTGCAATGAAAAATTGTTAGTTGATAGTTTACACTAGTTTTAGTTTAGTGTGTGTCACACATACTGCCAATAGTTTATTTGGTTATTAGAATTTGCACAATTTGAGTGTTCTTAAACTCATAGTTAATATTTTATTGTCATGGTTTTGCTTAGTACTTACTTTGGTTTAGTCTTATATTTTAAATATTCAGATCTACATCTAAGTTTTAAATTTTAATTATGTTGAAAAGAATTAATCGGCTATGAGATGATATTACTGTCTCCTGCTGAAAGTTTGAAGGGTAATAAGGAAGTTTATATTGTAGTAATAGATGAAATGAAATAATTTGTTACAACATGAAGATGCCATAGGATTATATTTTTATTTTAAAAAGCAAACCTACATTCCAAATATGTGTATTTAAACATGTACATTTATGGATATATCAATACAGTTAATATTAATTCTAAAGTAAAGATCTGAATTCAAGATCTGGTTGCATAGCACTGTATATAAGGTTTTATTGTCTAAAGAAATAATTTCTCTTAGTATGTAAGTTTTTTTATTACATTAAGTTTAAGCTTAAGGCCTAATCACATACATATTATATTTTCTCAATGACCAATGTCCTACCTCTAAAATATGGTTTCTTTTACAAACTTTTATTTGCCAAAGTGTAGTTTTATTTATTGGAATAGTTTCTCATTTGAATAAATCAAGAACACAATAGTTGTTTCAATTACATTACTTCTTTTTTTTAATCACCAGTTTTCCTATTTGAAATGAAAATGTTTATGTAGCGTTTCTTATTTGATTAATTCAACAAGTACAATTGTTTTTCTTCACATCATAATTTGTTTTCATGATGTTACAGTACATTAAGTTAAATATTAAGTTTCATAGCTACCTTATACATTTTTATGGAAGTACATATCTAATTAAAATCTATTATAAACACAAATAAATCTGAGATTCCCAACAATTCTATTTTTTGTTGGTGAGTACCTAAGTATATAGTTTGATGCTGGCTGACATGAGTGGAAAAAATTCTTATCATAATATTATTACTAACCATGAAGCATTTGATTGTGAAATTAACAATAGTTATTTTTTTTTACTGATAAACAAGTCTTTGGTGCTGATAAACTTATATTTCATCATGCATAATCTTATGAAATGTTTTTTTTTTATATCACAGTCCAATAGGTTTATTTATAAATTTTGATATGAAAGTACTTAGTACTTCAACTGTCTTTTTTATATGTATAAGGAATAAAAAAATAAGAAAATGTAAATTGTTCGCAAACCTCAATTCATACTACAGTAGATAATCATTGTATACAATGCAAAAATAATCCCAAATTATGTACTTTACAAGGTTTTAATTTAAAGCAATTGATAAGATGGTCCTTTAAATGATTACATAGTAGGGACATACATAAAAAAAGTTGAGTTTCTGAAATATTAGTACTTGTATCCTTAAGGATGCACACCAAATCTCTCTATTACACTGCCTTCAGGCTGCCCAAAATAAGCTTTCTCACACATATTTACAAACAAACCTGTTTCAACCACACCAGGAATCATTTTTATAATGCTATTGACTTTGTCCCATCGTAAGTCCTGGTTGGTGAATATCCAATCAAGGATGAAGTTACCATTGTCAGTCACCACGGGCCCCGCTTTAGCAACAGCTTTGCGTAACTTCACTTCTCCTCCATACAGAGCCTGTATCTTATTTTGAATAGGAACATATGCCATTGGTACAACTTCTATTGGAATACCTTTTTTATATCTATCTCCTAATTTCACAGAATCTTTAGTGTAGTCGGCTATAACGATGAGTTTCTTTGAGCAAGAGGCTACAATCTTTTCTTGTAGTAAGCAACCACCACCACCCTTTATCAACGTCATGTCCGCGTCTACCTCATCAGCTCCATCGATAGTGACATCAATCACTGGATGTGTCTCCAGCTCGCCCAATGTAAGCTTATGTTTGATGATCAGCTGTTTAGCTTGAAACGATGTGGGAATGCAGGTCACCTTCAACTTTTCAGTCTCGACGCGTTCAGCCAGTCGTTGAACGGCGTAAACGACTGTAGACCCACTACCGACACCAAAAATACAATCTTTCTTTACATACTCGTCAACTGCCCGGTGTGCGGCGAATTGTTTCGCTTCTTCTAAAGACATTTTAGCGTTTCTACAAGACTGGCTATATTTTGCGACTGCAGCACTGTGTTTCAATAAAGTAGTTGCACAGACTTTAAGCAACATGCATCGGTGTTATTCTTAGATTAATGTTATAAAATGTATTATCGTAACTACGTATACCGCGCTGTTACAACACGTGCGATATCGGCTTGCCTTCGAGTCGAGATGAATTCGTTTTCTCTTTCTCACATTCACATCACTCATTATCGCGCTATAATGTCATTGTCACATTGACAGTGGCACCGTCATTTGATTTCTGTCATTTTAGACTGTTTTTTTTTGGAGTTTATGTCCTGAATACAAGTTCTTTAAGCCAAATTTTTGACTGAATGGTGCCGATAGATACCATTGAGATACGAGATCGGCATTATAGTCGACAACATACTCGGTTGCCATGCAAGACATAAGAGATAGGTACACATCAAAATACGCCTCATAATCGAGTGATCTTTAGAAAGTATATTTTTTTGCTTATTTTCATACGATATCTTTAGATTGGAATCTGCCGGATGACCTGATTATTTGGAAATAGGATCCCCTATGGACACTTACAACAAAGGAGGTGAAATAATGGTCTCCCAAACCACATCTTCACACGGCGATACACCACGAACGTATTGTTTTAGGCTGGCGTTTTGTGAGGCTGTGGCATTGCTCCGGTCGAATAGGCCGCAACGAGCCTCTCGTATTAAAATAATATCCCTTTTTATTTAAAACATAATTTTAAATTTATATAGCACACCCGATCAACGACCCTTCTAAAAATAAATACTCTCAGTAAGTTTCATCAACATTTATTGCTTTCGATAGGCTCTTCAAATCTTTAATAAGATTATCTTGATCATTAAGAAGTTGCTTCACTGTTTTTAAATGTGTCGTCAAGTCTAAATCCCTGTTGTTCATTGGTGACAAATGTTTATTTAATTCTATTTTTGTCATGGTGAGATTAGTAAAGTTTCTTTGATGAGACCCAAGCTTTAATTCAGACAGAGCCAAACCAATACTTTGTCGTGGGCTTGGCAATGGGCATTTTTTATCCTTGTTGTTACGAACGGTATCCATTTTATCTTTAGGTGTTAAATAATTTTGCATTGTAATTAATGTGTTGAGGAATCTGTTCTTTTGTTCAAGCCGAATGCGTTTCTCACGTTCATCACAGTAGTTCGCGTAATACTGTCCACAGCAAACTAATATGTGTTTAAGTTGTTCCAATGCAGAAATATTTTCAGCGGTTTCTTCATTTCTCATTTTCTGTATTTCTTGATACCCAAGTTTAATGACGGTATCAAAGAATTCAAGCTGATCTCGTAAAGCGCGGTTTTCTGTTCTTAAGTTGGCAATTATTTCGTCTTTTGCGCTTTGTTGTTGTATTAAATTCAAATACTTGTTTCTAGAAATATCTAATTGACTTGTTAGGTTTGCTGTTTCACTTGCTTTAATTGACGACATAGTTTTAGCAACAGCTGCGAAGTAAAAATGATAATTATACATATGTGTGTAATATATAGAGAAAAGTATTTGGGCAGTCCAATGTTACCTATTATTAGGTACTAGCTACTCTCGCGTGGTTTTATTCGCTGCTCGGCTCCATTTAATCGTAGCGTGATATTTTATAGCCTATAGCACTCAGAAATATTGTAGCTATCTATCAGTGAAAGAATATTGGTATTCCGACCAGCGGTTCCAAAGATTACCCCTTACATACAAACTTACCTCTTTATAATATTAGTATAGATAGATATATAGGGTAAAGACATTATAAAAGACTTCGACATTACTTACACAAGCGTGGGAGACCCAAGCTTCGGTACAAATGGGTCGGCTCGACTGGAGTGATACCACAGCCTCACGGAAAACCGGCACAACCACAGCGTGGTGTTTTGCCGTGTGAGTGCGGTTACCGGAGACCCAATCTTTCCTCTCCCCCGATCCCTCCCTAATTCCTTAATCTCCAAAACCCTAATCCCTGAAAGGTCGGCAACGCACTCGTAACTCCTCCGTTGCGGGTGTCCATGGGTGGCGCTGATTGCTTACCATCAGGAAATCCATCAGCTCGTTTGCCGACCTATTACCTACATAAAAAATCTTACCGCAAGCAGTTTTTAGATTATTTTTCAATCTTTTTATTTGAATTCCTCGAAAATTCAAAGACCTCTTGCATTTTAGAAGTTGACCGAAAATTTCTTCGGCGTCACTCTTATTATTGTTGCTTTTACTTGAGATGGTGTTTTTATGAAGTCTGAAAATTAAATTTAATTATTGAATATAAATTTGTTATTTAGGGTTTAATGAAAAGAAACTGAAGCGATTAATTTAAAGAAGATTCAAAGTAGATCGTAGTCAGAGCTACGACGTAGTAGAGTAGCACCGTCGCCTAAATAAGATCAGCACCTGGATATCCCTTTCACAGGGCAATTATTTGGATACCCATGACTCTATTGAATCTTGTTTGTGTAACAAGGGCAACTAGTGATGTATAAAATTTTCTAATTTGTCTTATTTTTTTAAGATACTGAAATTTTGTTCTGTATTCTGAGCTGAAATCGAAACTTGTTGGTTTCGGTTCTTAAATATAATATCAATAGTCAATGTGCGCCCTGTGCGCCATTGTCAGCTATATTATTATGACATATATTTATTAAAATTACTCTAAAATTACATTTTTAAATATTACTATAAAATAAAATAAAATAAAATAATATTTAAAAATATAAAAGTATTATTATTTGTATGTCTTTACCAATCACGGGACCACAGGGTCCCGGTCATTTGGGAGGCGTACGAGGGGCCGGAGCCAACTGCGCAGAGGCCCTTTAGACAACTTTAATCTAAATGAAATGGGACACAAACCGGCGACTATCCCTGTATGCACTATGGAAATACACCCAAGGACAGTCCCCGGTTAGTGTAGGACTATTGCGGATAATGGAAGCAAGTAATAAGGCTATGGGTGTGGGTTGTTATGGACCGGTATGATGGGAACTATGGAAGAACTATGGCACCTGCCGAAACAATGTAATTTATACACGTAAAAATGGCAGGCGGAGACTCGCCAACTCACCGACCGGGCCCCCGGGAATGGTTGCTAGTTATAGCAACAGAGGGACAACGGAAATGTGAGTGGCTGAAGGGTGAAGAAACTGCCACCAGCTTTCTACTCAGATCATCTGCATCTGCCTAAGCATCCTGCATCACTGGCCCACTCGCCGCTTACGAACAGCTTCCACCCTCCGAGCAGGATCACTACTCTCGCGACTCCACTCTGGACGGCCAATGAAGGCAAGCCAGAGGCGGGAGACCTGTTCCTCGTCATCGTTCACTCCAGCCAGCCAATAAAGGCAAGCCGGAGATAAGGAACGGTGACTCCTCCCTGGAGCAATCGGGATGATGGTAGCCCGCGGGATCGCTAATTCCCGTCACCTCGCCTCAAGGTGCCCTCGATTATAAAGCCATTGAACTAGTGACATGTTCAAAACTACAGAATGTGTTTACTAAACAGTATTATTTAAATATTAATTAGGTACATACTTTTGAACTTCTTTAGCTATTTCAGTTAATGCATTGCGCATTTGGTTATTTTCGGCCTCGTCATCACTCATTTTTGGTCACTTTTTCACGTAAAATAAAATTGAATCAAAATACGCAAAACCGATATTTTAAAAGTTCACCATGAAATTTACTTGCTATTAAACGAATTAGCAAAGTATTATAAGTATAGGTCATCAATAATATATACTTAGAAAATGTAAAAAGCCCAATCGAAATTGACAGGGCATCAAAAATATTTTTTACGGACTAATTAAGGATCCCCTATACTTATTATACTCTTTGGTCCAAGGAAATGATAGACAAATGGAAATACATAGACAATGTTGTTTTTTTAATTTGATCAGGAGAAAACGTGCTTTTCCGACTTTCCGAGTACCTAACATTCGCTTTTTGATAAATAGAAGAGAATATGTCTTGATTAGTAGTTTAACCGATATGGACACAGATTACTATAAAGTCTATAAACTACTATCAAAGAACGGATGATGTAGATGACGCCTTGATGATCCAAGCCGGTCTTCACTTTTTGCAAGGAGGTTCAAAAAAGATCGTAATTAACATCATCTTTATTACGAAAAAAAATTCGAGATGGCGCTGGTATCGATAGCGTCGTTATAAAAACAATATTATTATACTGATAATCATACACACTGCTTCCTATTTCTACAACAAAATGACATGAAATGTAGAGTCAATATGAATTTTGTGTAAATAATTATACAAAATTCACCAAAAATGTTCAATGAAACAATGAATAAATTTTTGGATGTGTTGATGTTTTATGACCTGTAAAACAGCACTTTTACACGTCGAAATTAGATACTAAGTACATACCTACATAAAAAAACTAGATGATGCCGGAAACTGTCCATTGAATCATTCAAAAATTTAAATAGGCACCAAGAATGGTGATCATTTATTCAAACATCAAACATCGACGTCTTTTAATACGACAAAAAGGAAACTTCGCAGATTTCCTACCACAATTTCATTTATTTCGAAGTTTCGTGAGTAAAAAACGAACTAAATTTACACTACAGACAGAAAACTAGCAGACGCATTCTCACCTCGGAGCATCTGCAATGGACAACCGCAACTCCAGAGCAGTTACGAATGCGTTGCCGGCCTTAGGATTAAGGAGATATAGGGATTTGGGAAGGATTGCAGGAGGAGAAGAATTATTTTTTGGGCCCCAGTAACCTCACTCCTCACATGGCGAAAAATAACGCTGTGCTTACGAATGCCGATTTTCTGTGAGTCCGTGGTATCATTCCGGTCTAGCTGACCCATTCGTAAGAAGTCATTTGATGGTTTTCCCCATAAAAAGCCACTGTGATTAGAGTATTACAATTATTTGAATAAACCTAGAAAAGAAAAATAGATAATTTTTCTTTTTTTTAGCATTCATGTTCAAACCGGCGATTCCTTACACTATTCTTAGCGAAACTTGGGCCTTTTAATATCGATTGAAAACCAATGAAAATCTTGTTACTTATGCAGTCTAACTTTATCTTGAACTACTTTTTTCTAAATACTGACAATAAGAGATCAACTGAATATTGTTATTTAGTAAGAAATACTTTATTGTAAGGTTATGGTAAAGAATTCTGATCATCCATGTCAGTTGCTAACATTTTGCGTATACGGTCGTTAGGACAGAATTTTATCACTTTAATTAATCAATGCACTGTAACAGCCATTGTATCAGTAGAGTTGCCCATCACGGACCGGGTAGACATTCAATACATTGTTATTATTAAGCCGGAGCGTAGTGGTGTGCCAGCCAATTTTCCGGCAAACGCCCCGCCGGCAAACGGCGATCCGGTATTCGTTTGTTCACGAGACAACCGCTCCGTGTGGTAACCATTTCACGCTCGATTTCATCTCTACCACTAAAAATAGGGACATATCTTCCGAACGATCTATTATGTGGAATAAGAGAAAAGGAAAATAAATGTTTCAGTGAGAAATAAAATCAAAGAATTATTTGATATAAGTATTATGCCCCAAATTGATGTTAGCAACTTTAAAGTAGATCCAATTCGCTTGGTTGATTTAAAATTTGTAATGTTAGTATTGTTTTTGTAACTGTAGAAAATTATTAAGTATAGTAAGATTAGCTGAAATTCACTTTTTACACGATTGCCCAAAACTGGCGTGTTATGTTCTGCTTTCAGTTTGTATGGGTCAGTTGACATTTCGTGGTTGACATAAACATAATCGTTGAGGGTTGAGAGTTTACTTTCACTTCTTGTAGTGATAGAAAAAAAATGCTATGTAAATATTTCCATAGAATAGGATGGTCTCAAAGTTCATCGATAGACTAAGTACGCACTACGCGTTAAAAGTTAATTATAAGTACATACACAATTGAAATAACAGAATGCAAACAAATTTAATCTGTGGAACCCAACTGTCCAATAAGATTGTACAACAATAAAAATATACGAACTAAAATGGAGAGTTTGTTCTCTAGCAAAATAAATTAATGACGTAAACTACTTTGAAAGGCCCTATCCACACGAGTACTGGGAGACGTATTCTAAGTAGGCTTGATGAATGAAAATGATTCACCAATATATTCTAAAGGGATCTCGATCTTCTTACTTAGCCGTTATCCGCACGGTCGGTTTATTTCAATTTCGTTCATAAAAGACGCTATTCTCGGATTTGAAGTAGATTTATCATGCTCGGATAAAGCGGGCACTTTTTGTGCTTTTCTTGTGCCTGGATCTGACCCGAGATCTGTCCACTTAATGTGAATAATGGTGTACGATGGAAAACGAATGCGAACGCGAACACAAAGGACAACAATGCGAACGATTCCAGAACTCGATACAACACTCGGATTTTGGCGAGATAATGCTTGTTGTTGTGTTTTTGTGGCTTTATGTTATTTTCATGCTAAGGTTTTACTCCTACATCTATACGTACCTACACGCTGTCTTTACATTATTATTACATCAACGTGTAGGTCGGTATGCCTACAATGATATCCATTTTTCTCAAATGACTTATACGTACTCAATCTGCAAGTAGTAGGCTGTTAAACTGAAAACAATGTGTTGGATCTGCCTACAGTATACCTGTATATCTGCCTACCCTTCTTGGCGAGCGCGATGGTGTTGTTTGTTTTACATGCGTTGGTAAAAATAATTAATTCAGACATTTCTTTACAAACGAACAGAGCTGCTAATAGTCAGTTTAACAATTTTTTGCTTGTTATTTAAGTAAGTATTGTACATTTCTAAATCGTAATCTCAGTCGAACATTGAACTCGATGTTATTTTGGCATGTTACGCCTGTGAAAAAAAACGTGGTAAGTACCTACACGTAGCGTAAATACTGATAGATACATAAATACAGCAGGCGTTTAACCAAAAACCAGTTAAACTTACATTATATAAACTCGTCAATCTGATAAAATACAGACGATATTTTATTATGTACAAACTACGAAAACTATATGTAAACAGAATTACCCGTAATTAATTCTTAGAAATGTTGATAACAAAAAGCTCTTTAAGAAGACTATCGATAAGTTTTGAATTAAAAATCCTTTATAATATTTAGTCTGCAGCTGTATTTATAGTAATATGGAAAATAGTTGTTTACCTTACTTTCAAACCAAGAAATATTTTTTTCAGAACTACAATTTCAACACATTTATATAGTAGGTACGTAGCTCATTTGCTTGCAAAATAATACTCACACAAGTTATCCACAGAAATAGAAGATGATTCCATCACAACATTATACATAAACATTTTAATGCACGTCGTCATATCGGCGCGGAGATGAAGACGATATCTGAGGAATGCGAGACGTCTACGGATAATCGATTCCTTAGAGGCGAAAGCTCCCGTGATCGTGAGAGATGCACTCGAGATGAAGCTACGCTGAGTATCCTACTCCGTCGTAGTAGTTCCGCGTTTATGTACTACGATAGCCTTGATACTGATATACGTCTCGACAAGCATCGTCAGCTTGATGGTCAAAAGAGATTGGACATTCGTAAACATGAATCCCATCTGCGGAACACAATCTTTACAAGAAACCAATATCATTTTATAGCTATGCTTGTAGGTATCCGATGTTCTAAAGAATTTATCGCTCAGGTATGATAACAAAAGAATCAGCATTCCACAAGGCAGACGGGAGTCACGCTACCGCTCGGCCGGACCCTACACCGCGTAAATAGTTAAATCTACTACACTAATACAATTTGTAGTAAACCATGATCCCGACGCTAAGGTCGCATTATCGGATTGGAAAAAACTGTTACAAAAACAATCTTTGTAGAACAAAATTGAATCTTACATATGAAGTTTTTAAGACGCTATTGGTTTGTGAGTTGAGACGTGAATACGAGGCCGAGTTTTACAATGTTCATGTGACGGCAGGACCTTTTTGTTGGGCCTTTTGTGTAGAGAATCCGCGATGCCCTGGGGGCCGAGGGGCACGATTTCCATTACACGAGAGAGTTTTTCGAAGAGATCTTTGCTTTCCGAAAATTTTACACTACATTAAATTATGTTTTTCTAAGGTTCTAAGGTTGTAGGTTGATAAACCACGGTCAGATCTCAAAGGACAGTTTGATTGCTCATGTAATCAGTCTTGGTGGCGAAAGGTAGGGCACCAAAAATTTTGAAGGTAGCATTTTGTAACAAAAATATTTTTAGAAAATACTATTACAGTATGTCTAGTACACAACATGAGTGATGTCTGCATTACCGGTGCAGCTATCAAAGATCATTAATTGGTGCGCAGTAGAAACGCCCACTTTTAAACCTGAACACTACGATTAGTTAGTATTATTGAAATTGTATCTGATTCTCAATGTCGGTATTAATTTAGGTGCAGTTGAACTAGAATGACAAAGTGTAGTGGTGTGTGTTCCTACATAAGTTATGAGCAATACAGGGTAGCGTTCAAGATCAGGAGTACGTGCACATGCGGTCGGATGTGGTACAAATGATGCAATATCGGCAAGTCACGTTTAGCTAGTATTTTGAGCTTCCATTTTGGTCTCGCCTGCAACTCAATGAGA